CTGGGCAGTCTTGCCGAAAATCCCACACGAGTTCTCGGAATTTGAATATCCCCGCCACTTCACAAGATCGCTTCTGTCGTCGACGCCGGCCCACAAGACGTTCCACGTAGGAGGACGAGGAGCCACTGGTGCCTGGTGCCATCGATACAAAGACAGATCTGTATGATGGTCGACGCCACCTTTTTCATCGAGAAGAGTCGACGGCGGACGCTGACGACTTGATCGATCGCCGTCCGGTGACTCGCGATGCTCTTCGAGCTCGTGAGGACGTGGTCCGTCGCCATCAGGACTCTTCTGAGCTTCTTGCCGAGGTAACATATCACTGTGCGGAAGACATCGAGAGCTTGAAACACTTTGTGCACCGTTGAGGACTATCGCAGTGGACCCTAGCCGTCGAGCAGACGAATACGTCACTTCGTGCGACGGTGGAGCGCCCGGCTCCGTTGGAAACGGAGATCGTTGCACTCTTGCTAAAAACCAGTTGCTGGTTTAGCTCTGAGATGTCGAGCGTATTTAGGCGACGCCCCGGCGCCAACGCTTCCACGTTCTCTCGCGCCAAATTCCGTTACGGCTTGAGCAAGCCCACATAAACCACCGAGAGGGTGCGCATCCTTCTCGGAGGTTTAGAGTATACAAAAGGCCATGCTTCGCCAGGGAGATTTAAAGGTCCGATATCGTTAACGAAGTTTTGTCTTAAAGACAGCAGAAACTGCATGCGTAGGAAGGTTTTTAGCATCTTATAAAACCAGGTCTCTGACCTTAAAGTTTATAAAATTTCTTCATCTGTATATTCTTTCTGCATGTCTTGGCTTTCAGCCATCCCATCGCAAACGTGTCGTAGGACACTCAGTGTGGAAAACAAGAAGAAGTCATCGACTTCTTTACGGACAGTGAGGGGGCTGATACCAGCTAGCCGCTCGGCTATTGCATCGTTCACCGAGCTCTGAGCCATGAAATGGCGGCGCTAGCGGGACGCGGGGATTAACAACCGTGCTCACGAAGTGCGGTGTAGCCGGTAGATGAATGCAGTGCATTGTTCAGAGCAAACTCTGCGAGTGGCACCATTGTGTTCCAGCGCTTCGGCACCTCAGCGTAGACGCGGCGATGAACGTCTTAAACGACGCATGTCACGCGCTCAGTTTGACCATCAGTCTGCGGGTGATCTGATTTTGACATTGTCAACTTGGTTCCCGACAACCTGAAAACAGCCGACCAAAACTTTCCAGTGATTCGTGGATCTCTGACAGCGACGATTGACTCCGGGAGTCCATGTTGTCGAAAGACGCGATCCACAAATAGCGTCGCTGTACCCACACCCTCGATGGTGTCCGGCACCGCCGCAAGATGAGCCATCTTGCTCAAAGAGCAAACGTCTTCAAAAACCACCACACCCGTGTTGCCCGCCGAGCCCCATATTCATGGACTGTCAACACCCGGAAGGTACCGGTAAACTGGCCAGCGGCGCCGAACCATACGGAGAGAATTTTCACCCTTTAACACTTTTCACACGTGCGCACATATGTGCTCTGGTCTACCAGTAGTGGCAGCTCACAGAGCTGTATAGCTTCTTAAGACCGAGATAACCACTGAGTGGGGTGTCGTGGGCCTCACAGAGGATACGTTATTTCAGATCAACATCGGGGGGAGTCCCAATTCATGGCGTATTTGTCAAATCGATGCTATGAACGGCAAACCGTTATCAAAAAAATGTTTATGTAGCCGTGCGCGCACTTGCGCCGACAACTTCTTGTCCGAGTTTCCAAACTCCTTGCTCCCGAGAACCTGTAACAGCGCTACCGCACATATCATCACCCGCGTATGCGTTGCAGATCAAATTTGTCACTGACGACAACACCGTCGTGACATGAGCAAGCTCATAGTCCGGTCTGCGTGACAACGCATCAGCCAATGCATTCTGCTTTCCTGGCTTATACTTCACCTCGAAGTTATATTGCGCAAAGGATGAGAACCACCTAGCCATTGGTGAACTATGTTCGAGAGTCGCGTACTCTCATCGCCAGAATGGCAGCCGATCTTCTTCCCGATGCGGTGACAGTGACCGTCTTTATGGATGGCCTTCGCCCTGGCTAGACCAGAATGGAAATCTTCCGTGTGCACCCGTCTTCTTTTGAAGAGTTAATGTTGCATTAAATGCCAGATTTATCTTTAAGACGGCACGACTTGCTTGAAATGTACACTCTAGCAGTTCATAAGACAGCCTCCTTCATGCACCAATACTGGCGTTGCCAGACCCTGATCGTCCTTTCAGTGTCGTCTGTGACACTTCGGACTTTGCCATTGGCTGTGCACTGCTGCAAGCAAACGCGGAGGGGCAAGATTGAGTGATCGCATCTAAATCTCGCCAGCTCAAAGCTGCTGAGAAGAACTTTTACGACAAGATATTACTTGCGACGAAGTATGCAGCTGTCAAGTTCAGGGTGCACCTGCTTGGCTCAAAGCCGTTTGTGATTTACACAGATCATCCGTCGCTACGCACTGAGACTCAGTCGTTTCACCTCTCGCAGTGGATGAATTTGTGGCTCTCATTCTCCGCAGAATAATCCTTCGAGGTGAAGTATAAGCCAGAAAAACAGAATGCTTTGGCTGTTATCATGCAGACCGGATTATGAGTATGCTCATGTCACGAAGTTGACGTCGTCAGTTACGGATTTTCTCGGAGCCGCGTACGCGGGTGATGGTATATGTGTAGCGCTGCTACAGGCTCTCGATAGGCTGATCGATAGGTTGAGCAATATTTTGAAACTATTTTGAGTGAATCAATATACATAAATTATGTGTGCTTCGATTTTTCAACAAGACGGATATATTAGCACATAAAATTACAGTTTCCATCGTAGTGCTGCCGATTTTAGGGATGTGGTTTATGCAGTTCAATCGATTTCAACGTATGACAACATTGACGCTGCTCAATTCTGGAACAATTTCTGTAAAATTGAAGTTCCGACAGCTGGAACCACTTCCACTGGATCTGTTAGCTTGCGTTATGAGCTCTACAGTTATATATGTATTTGCAAAGCTCATACAGACAGCTCTCGTAAATGCTGATGCAGATTTGATATAATCCATCGGGGAAGAACGATTTTTATATTTAAGTAACAAAAACAGTGTATTCACTTCGATTTTAGTGCTACTCCAACGACACTTCATTCGGCTGGTGGCACTTGGACACGACTGGCAAGTAGTCTTCATTCGTCAGGCGGTACTAGTTCGCGAACAACAACGCGTGTCCCTCGCATAATCTTCGATGATGCCGCTTTTGATAATGTAGTAGGATTGACTACTTGTAATGGAGCGCGCACATCAATCATAATCTCAATATTTTATCAAAATGACACAAAGATTAAGTTCCGCGATACTTCAATGAGCATTATTCGTTCAAAGAAATAAAAAACCGATTGACAAATATCTTTGGGTTAAGGTTGTCGTTACTCTTCGAGTGAGCGGATCGCGATCCACTCGTACTGGTTCTAATAATAAAACGAAGGTCATCGATCTTAACCAAGCTTTCTCTAAGCGAAGAGCTATGGTAGCCCCGCTGCACCATATCACTACATTAACTTTGCATTTGTCAGGAATAAAAAATTGTAAGTGGAATAGCACAAGATCACCCACACCCCGTTGGATTTCACTTTTCACTTGAACTGAGTAAATTAAATGGTACACGAAAAACGATATCAACTTTCTATTAGCGATTCGATGGCCGTCAGGAGTGATTTAGCCGTGGGTCTGCTTGACGGATTCTTCCGCAAACACTGTGATTTTATTCTTCCCAATTCAGGCGGAAGATCTTGGACGGGAGATGTCATCAAAAGGTAACCCACACTCCAAATGTCAACCTTGACCGTGTGGGACGAAGATGATGGTATTTCGGGAGCATGTGATTCTGCCTTCAAGTGAGTTACTTTCGCAGCCGGCGATGATGTTCCGTCATCAAAGTCAATAAGAAACCACTTGTCGCCATCAATTGAGTACTTAATCACATTTTCCCATCTCAAGTCTCGATGCATCAGATTGATTGCGTGCAGTGCCACTAGCGCCTTGAGGATATCGCGCAGAGCCATCAGGAGCTGCTTACAGTTTTCAGGCGGGGTAAGTAGACCAATGGGTGCCAGCTTCACATGCTTTTTCTTCATGTTTGCGTTCTTTAGCTCCACAATGTTCGGGACTGAATGATTCTTCATTACACGATGCAATCCCTTCAAATTACGGATTATTTCATCACTCGGCATGCTCTTGGGGTACGTCTTCACCACACAATCTTCTGCAAACTTAATCAGCACTCCATTGCTTCTATACAAAGTGATGTAATCGGGTATACCCAGCGGACGGATAAGATCCACAACAGGCTTGAAAAGAGTCGAAAGGTTGAGCATGGCGAGAAAGAACGACAGCCTGTCTTTGAGACTTTCCAAATTGTACGTTTCAATCTTTTCAGCTTTCGCACACGTCTCTTTTTTTTCGTCTTTTCGAATAGTGACCAAACACACCAGTAGTCCCACAGCAGCATAACCGAAAACGTAGGGCGCATCGTCATATCTCCATCTTAGTTTCTCATGCAATTCCTTCACCGGCACATCCAACTCGCCTCTTGCTTTTTCTTGACCGCGAAACACGCAAATATTACTATTTGTGCTATAGAAGCACAAATCTGGTCGATAGGCGCCGGTAGAAGCGGACACATTCAAGTTACGACGAAAGATCCCGTCAGTAACAAGCCTCAACAGCATCGCAATGACGGCATCCCACGAGTGATGATACGTTTGTTCAGACACCGACTCGGAACCGAATCCAAGAGGATCGATAATTTCCCTCAAAACTGTCCCAGTAATGTCTGAAATTGCTTCACGCGGTTCAGAATCAAATAACTTGTCTAGCACGCTCGATATCTCTCCTGTTGAGTTTCTCGCTGACATAAGTTGGAATAATCTGCCACTGACGGGGATCTTGACGTGAAGTGCGCGTTGCAGGTGGTCTTTCATAGCTTCACGGGTCGACGGTAGTGTTGTAACCCGCTCGTCCTTAATAGTCTTTATCCAAGCGTCCGGAGCGTCCTTTTCTTCCATTCTTTTCCTCTTCCTATTATTCTCAGGCGTCGAAGCACCCGTTGGAACCACCACCAGCACGTGAATTTGCTCCGCTTGAGGTGAAGGCATTCCATTCATCTCCAACACCTTCTGAATCAAATAGGTCGAGGATTTCTCACGCTTTGTATCCACCAATGACACCTTTTCAAAACCTGGCACCGCTTCTCTGTCTTCTATCGCAGCAAGGTCCACACTTGGTAGCCATCCTGTGCCCTTCTTCGCAAGATAGAGACGCAGGTCCTTAGCATCACATGTGATCGTTGCTGGATTCTCTGCCTTAATTGCCTTCTCCAGGTCCCCTACAGACTGTCCTACATCGATGTCTATAGGAAACACGCTGCCGACTATAGCACAGAAAAATTTCATCATTTTCTCTGGAGTCGGCAGATTCTTAGAATGAGAAAATAGGGAGAATTTCAACCAAAGATAAGATGTCGGCGTAGAGCAAAAGCCACCCTTAAGGTGGAGAGTAGATCAGCAGAAGGTGAAGAATTCCAAGACTATATTCAGCTTTTGTTTAATGCTAATGAAGCGTATCAGCACTCTCATATTCGTCCACCTGTTATTACGAGACTTCTACACTCTCGAGCTTATCGTAATGCAATTATGTTTGCCGATCATTTAAGCGTTGGCCAGTGGAGAGAGAATTGATCGAAGACCTTACCACTTTGTCAGCTGCCATTTTAGTGCGCTCACGGTTGACCCTCATTCGTTCCTCTCGTAGACAAGAAGGTTCTTGCGTCAAAGAAGGCGCTTAAAGCTGGGAAGAAGAACCAGTTAAAGGACGTTGCTGTCAACGACCTGCAGCTTTTTCTGGCTAAGAGGAAGGACGGGGAATGGCTAGATGGGGCTGGTTTGGCAGATATGATACTTGATGAGGCTGGCGCACCCGTTTCACGCGATAATAATGGAGCCCCAAGGTTTAAGAAGATGCATCTGTTGCTGTGGATAAACAATGGCATGCATTCCGGAAAGGCTTAGGATGAAGTTCACGTGCTGATGGTGGTTTCAGAGCAAGCACAAGGACAACTAGGATTGTGGCTCGTTACTCAATTTGTCGTTAACGCGTTGAACACGAAAGCGATTCGCTGCAGAGTGTACGGGATGGCGACGATACGCATCGGGTACTACGATTCTATTCGCCGTACCCGGGATGAGAGTGTCGCGTTTAGGAAGAAAGGCAAGAAGTTGTACTTCCATGTACTGTCCGAGACAAGTGCGTACTTTTATAAATCATCATTGCATCGTAGTGGCAGACTAACTCTTTGTCTGTTTGCAGAAGATGCTGCTTGCTATTCGAAACTGACCTGAAAACTGGCCCGCAACTTTGGACTCTCCGTTATATGACCAAGTATTTGCGCGCGTATGGCCGTATCATTGACTACAAGCGTTTCTAACATGGACACCTCGACTGACGAGTTCGAATAGCAGCGAATTGAGTGCGAAAAATCACTTTGTTTCGTACGGTAAGGCAGAAAACCTGTCATTTGGTGTCGAGAAAGCAAAGCAGAGACCACAAACGAGAATATGCCAAGTACGATCACGACTCAAATAATCGCCTTGTTTTTTCGCGCGATATGAATGGTTGTTACGACGGTATGAGCGTCGAGGTTCCCATTGTCAACATGAATGCAATTATCCTGACGATTAACTAAGACCGACGGTCCGCTCGTGATGAAGACGGTTCGGTATTCAGGGCTCAAACGGCAAAAGGGTCTTACAGTTCTTATAAAATTTGCTTTGAAGTGGGGCACTGTCATTTTGTCCGAGCAGTTAAGAAATGTGGATGAAGTTCACAATAGGCAGGGGATCAGCAAGTTGGCCGTAATTTTTGGGGACGGATGAGCCGATGGCAGCTCTGCGGGATGCAAAGCAACAAATAATTTGTTTCGCTTGGGTTGTCTGGAAAGCATTCCAGGCATAGAGACTGTCGCGAAAAGATGATGACAAGTCGCTTACAAATGACACGCGTTGCGTCGCACTAAGGCGCTTGGTGTGTATAAAGTGGTCGCAGCGATTCTAAGAATTAAGAAGATGCGTTAAGTACAATTGACATGGTAAACCGATTCGATTACATCTCTTGTATGCCGCAGTTTGAAACAATCCATCAGTAAAAAATATAAAAAGTGGTAAATAGCTTTTGTCTTGTCGACGCAGTTTGTAAGCGATCTGGGCTGTTCTTTGCCAGCGCAACGGTAAACGAATGCCGTACTCATTTGAAATGTGCGTTCCAAATCACGAGCATGATTTCATTTCACATGTCGACCCCTCACGCTTAGCTGAAGGATTTTGTTAGGATCTCGTCGTGTTGATCACCGCGTCCAGCGACAAGCTCACTCTCTCTGTATCCCTTGACCTCGAGTCCAAAGATATCATCCTTGACAATTCAGTAGAAGTTCTAGCTCATGGGCGCAGATTTCGACATGAAATTGGTTTCGAGCCAATTTTAATGAACTGTTTGATGCGTCAACAGTCACTTCCAATAAATCAAGTCGATATCACCGCCCAGTTTTTTATTATCGCGATACGAAGACACATGAGGAACAAGTCGATATTTTCAGCCCAAGATTAGCATTTGTGTGTAAGAATCACAAGGGGTTGGCGCTTCGTTTTAACCCTTTACAAGCATATCTCGTGTTATTCGTTTACCAATGAATACAGCATTTCGCTACGTTCTTGAGGGTAGAAATTCCACTCATCACCCTCAATGATCTGCGAGTGTCAACAATGGCCTTGGCCATCAAGCACGATGAGCTCAGCTCCTCCTCTGGTATCAACCGTACTAATGACTTTAATGAGAGTTTCTGCGCGGGTAATAATAATTGCTTCCCCTGAAGCTACTCCATTCGTTAGTCAATTTTTCGCGACAAACTTGTGCTACGTATGGTGGGCGCATCATACGGTAGTGCAAAACTGTCACTGTAAACGGAAGGGTGGTTAACGCAAGATAGTGTGATCGTATGAAGGTGTGGGTTGCATTTGCCTTAGATTAAGGATTTGGGTACTCTTGGAGGTAGCGGATTGCAACATGCTACACTCGTACAGGCTCTAGTATAGAACGTAATGTTTATGACCTTTGTATGCTTCTTCTAAGGAAAGAGCTACGGCAGCCCCGCTGCACTTGGTAGCACTCGTGGTCAAACTATACCTGAGTCATCACGACTGATCCTCTGTGAGGATGGAGCAATTCTCCTATTTGTCCCAGGGCATGCAGGACGGGCTTAATAAGCTGATGTTTTTGCTTGGCCCTGAGGGCGTGCAACACCTTGTGGTGCAAGGTTCCGAGGCAATCGGTGCGCGTCTAGAGGCGTTTTCGAGTTACGAAAACAGGCTGCTATAGTACCTGCAGCAAAGATGTCTGCATTCTTTGCGTCTATGACGCCACCGTCGGCGACGGATGATTTCTCCCACCCTAAGCCGCTCATGGCGAGCGTTAAGGTCTTTAAGGGGGAAGATAGAGAGAAGCTCTTGCTCTAGGTGAATGATGCTCCAGACCGAGTAACGGCGAGTGGCACTAGCCATCTCAAAGCTCGGTGGTCAAGCGCGAGAATGGGCGGCACTTCGGTAGAAGCTGCGCTTCCCTCCTGGGCGGATCTGAAACTGCAGCTCTCACAAGTATTTTCGCCGCCTAATCAGGCGTATCTCGTGTGATCGCGATTCCTTGCCGCTCGACA